CCCAGTTTGTCCGGGCCCCCGACTCTTACCCGCGCTATCCTTGCGCACCGATTATAGCATCGGCCCACCCGTTTATTGGGGCGGAAAAAACCCCCCCCCCCCCCCCTAGCGGTGTTATGTAGCTGCCATAAGGTGCGAATCGGGGTATATTAGGTTGAGTCGGTTGTTTACGTTTGGGCGGGAACGAGTGCCAAGGTTCACGTGATTACAACGCGTTGCGGGTACTCAAGCTGCACCTGACCTCCAGTACCTCCAGGCCAAAAGATCATAACAACAATCAGAACGTCCGATTGATATATCAAGCCCTAGACATCTGTGACATATGATACTTTTCTGGGTACTATCCAGAAGTACTATCCCATCGAGGAGTATCTCACGACTTGGCATTTCTGCTTTTTGTACATTCGAGATCATCATTCGGTATGATGTGAAAGGTCTCTTCCCAAATCGGGGAGTTTATGACCATGAAAAACGATACAAAGTTAAAGTCGCCTCATGCCTTCACTTTGGGGATGTCGGCAGCCTCCCTGGAACCGGAGATTTGCTATGTGGCATTAGCTTGAGATCTGAGATCTGTATTAGGGATAGAGTAGAACATGCATATCATCATTGGTCTTGAAGATGTTTATAGAGAATAGGTACACTGCTACTACTAGACTCCTTCGATATACGGTTGATAAGCAAGACTCGAACGACCTTATCCCCGGGGTTATATCATGTACCTTGTATGGGAGAAGGTCCGAGGTCGTATTCCTCAACCTTGATCTCTCCATAGCAGGCTAGAGACCGGGGTGACAATTCTCACTAAGACTAATAGCTAGACATCAGTGATCCATGATAAGGGGTCAATTGGCTTTGAGGTGGTATCCTCTTCTCTCAACGGGCCAACGCTATTCCCTTGACTTGCAACTAAGGAGATGGTCTGATCGACTCACCAACAAGCCAGCACGTGCCAAATCGAAATATTCTATGACAATCCACGCGCGGGGTCTGATTATCCGAATCAACTGATTCTTAATCCGTTGTCGTGGGATTGGTGGGCAGTATCATACTAGTGCCGTATGGCACATTCGAGACTTAGTATGGCGTGCGATGGAGTTATCTACCGGCCAGCGCCGACCGCGAGATGCAATACTTTGGATATATAAGCAAGACAAAATTCCCAACATTCGGAAACCACCACATCTAAACATACAATTATTTCGCAAATATGGTCGGACAAGCATTGACATCGGTTGCCATCATTGGTGGCGGGCCCGGTGGATTAGGTACGGCGATTGCTCTCTCAGAACTGCCGTTTCTAAAGGTGACTCTGTATGAGAAAAATACGGAGCCCCGAGAAGCCGGTGCAGGCCTCAGCCTGAGCACAAATGCATGGAGAGTTCTAGATTTACTTGGAGCTAGTGATGGCGTCAAGGGAGGCTCCAAATCCAACACACACCAAAGGTAAGCGATGCTTTCCTGGACACAGTAACAACAAATGCATATGTTAACTTTCAATTCTTGGAAGAAATGCCTACACAGGGAAGATTTTGAACATCACTGAGCATCCAGAAAATTCCGCTGCTGATTCCCGCGGATCAATCCGTGCTCGCAGAACCCGACTTCAGTCAGCTCTCTTATCGAGAGTACCCGAGGGCTTGATCCAATTTGGCAAAAAGGTTGTATCTTTGGAGAACCTTTCGGGTCGGGGGGTTCGGTTGGTATTTCAGGATGAAACGGAAGCGATTGCGGACATTGTCGTTGGGGCGGACGGAATACACTCTGTTCGTCGAGCCTCTTGTGATAAAACTGGCATGTGTGACTGACGGACCTTCATGAGATAGGTTGTCCGTAGGGCCCTATTGCCTGATCATCGACTGCACTTTACAGGTAACAGTGCGTTCCGTGTTCTAATTCCGAAGTCTCGTCTGGCCCACATCCCGGACATCACGACTACAACCTCATGGTGGTGGGGTGAAGCTGGCCATGTATACCTCTCTGATGTGGACGATGAGGAAGAGTCCAAAGATCCGCTTTTTGAAATCACTGTTCGATCCTATCGTGAGCCTGAGGTCTCAGGGAAGACGGTCTTCTGGGGTATCCCTGCAACCAACGAGAAAGTGGGATCCCGTGTTGAGGTGCGAGAAACTTTGCTGAAAAAAAAAGACTCACTGCTAACATATAAACAGGCTTTTGACCAAAGAATAAGAGACGCAGTAAGCGCGGTTCCTGAAGGAGAATGGAGGGAGTTTGCAACATTCGCTGGGCCTCGTCTAAACAAGATCACCGACTGGGATAAAGTCGCCCTGATTGGAGATGCCAGTCACCCGCTTTCAGGTAAGTTCATGTGTTATCATTTAAGGTTATAATGTCAAGTGCTAACAGCCTTCCAGGGGCGTTCGGATCTGGGGCGACGTTTGCCATGGAGGATGGTTGGATCCTCGCACGGGCGCTTGAGTTTACGCAGGCTACTTCTCGCCCTACACGAGACGCTCTAGAGATCTTTGAACAGATCCGGTCTCCATACTATGCCAAGATGTAAGTTCAAACTTGAAAGCGTGCGCAAAATGGCTTGTCTGACGCCGCTTTTCCGACCATTTGCAGGTATCAGCATCTAGACGAAATACGTGACAAAGCAGAACAACTCCAAGCAGAAGAGAAAGATTTTGATGTCATTCTGAAAGCCAAAATCGACAATTTTCTCTATGGAGACAAGGATTTCATTTATCAAAATGACATTAAGAAGGTCTGGGAAGACTATGTTGCGGCAGAGCAGATAGGGTTGTAATCTGTCCAGGGATTACTCTGTACCTTGAAACTTGATCATATATACATGTCCTAGTTTTTTTCAATGCACATTTTAGAGCCTTTTTTTTTTCTGTCGCTTCCATAATTTCATGTGTATTTACAAAAGAGGCGCCGTTTATCGGTTTTTCTTTTTACACATGTTTATACCTCCAGAGGCTACTTTCGTCAGAATAGGAAAGATAGAAAAGACCGTCTATCGGTTTCTTGAATATTCTCAGAAAGACAAGATCAAAGATATATTCATACAACATATATTATAGTGCTCGGCTAATTTTGTGCAGATCTGCTCCTGATTTGTGGTTTGCATTGTGGATCTTCGTCAGTATTGGCACATTGAAAGGGGTTTGTTTCAAGGTTCTTTTCGCCCTATTTGGCAGATCTCCGGGTAGCAGAGGACAAGGATGTTAGGAAACAGCATGATGTCTCCATAGTTTTCAGGTAGCACGTACTTTGTGTAGTACTTGTGAGTGGTGTGGTTCTATACTTTGCAAGGATTGCGGAAGATAAGCAGATGGCCGAGTGTGTGAGTGAGGATTGAGGAGTGAAGGAGACAAACGAAGGTTCAGGTGTTTCGAAATCCCAAACCTCACACCTCCACAGCTCGAGATGATGAATAGACTATCCAATCCACCTTGGGTAGAGAGTGTAGTTGAACACGGCCACACTATGGCAACCTCGGGATCACGTGATGTGGAGAGGAGAATCTGAAAATTCCGTTTTTTCCCAATTTCTTTTTTTTATTTTTTATTTTATTTTTTAATGTTTTTTTCCCTCGCCATCGAGGATTCCAGCCCAGCGTCATCCACTTCATCTCCAATCTACTTCTGCTAGGCCCTGACATCCGTTAAGGCCTCTAGCAAATAGATTTGGATCACCTTCGCTGTCTCTCTGGATCCCCCCAGCTGGTCTCCCCCCCTGGATCCCTTTGAGCGACCGTCGACTCATTTTCTCAAAGTGCGCTGACCGACTTGTCTCGGTCTCCGTAGCCGCTAAACCCAATTTGGAACCGGTGCGCGGTCGCTTTATTGCCTTATTGCCTTGTTGCCTTGTGGCCTCAGCCGCCAGGGAACAAACAAACACGCGGCCTCGGCGCGACTCAGGTGGTGATTCCCCGTATAGAATTATCAGCAGCGCTGGCGCATATCGGTGACGAGTCTTGATTTAAAACTGCCTTTCTATATTCTACATTTCCTTTTCAAGCTAGTACGCGATTATTTTGACCGTTCTCGCCCTTGCATGCTTCGCGGTTGGAAAGGATCACTCCATTCTCTGCCGCTTACGGCCAAGTGCCAGCGCATCTCTAAAATTGACTCAAGATGATGAACTACGGTGGTCACCAATTTCACCCTCAACAGCCGCAGCAGTCTCAGCAACAACAACATCAAGGTGTTCAGCCCCAACATCCGTTGGGTCCACAGCCTCAACGCCAGCATGCCCAATCGCCCTTACTAGGTGCGGGGCCGCCGCTGCCACAGCATGGCAGTCCCTTCCCGGGCAACAAGCCAATTTTTCGGGGCCAACCTCAGCAGAACTTCGCTGCGTCGCAATCTCCAGATATGCGTAAGATGACCCCGACATCGGGGTCATTGGGTGGCTACCCCACTAGCAGCAGTTATGGCCAATTCCCGGGGCAATTTACGGCGCAGAGCTCCCCGGATCTTATGTCTCGCAACCCAGACCCTATGGCGCTGCAGAACCTGCAGCGTGGGTTTAATCCAATGGCCCACCTTCGGCCGCAGCCAGGGACAACTGGCCTCACTCATGGACACCCCATGAGTGTTCCTTCGCCACAGCAGGCGATGAACAGACTACCTCACGCAGGCATGCAACAGAGGGATAACCATACCTCTGCTAGTCCGTCTATGGCTAGCCCGTCTATGTTTGCTTTAAATCAACAGCGACAGGCACAGCCGCAGTCACAGCCGCAGTCACCTCAGCAAACACACCAACAGCTGCAACAGCAGATCCAACAGCAGCAGTTCCAGCAGCAACGACTAGAGCAGCAGCAAAGAATGGAACAGCAAAGGATGGAGCAGCAAAAGCAAATCCAGCAGCAGCGCTTGGAACAGCAGCAGCGGCTTGAGCAACAGAAGGAATTGGAGCAGCAAAAGCTAGACGAGCAAAAGATGTTGGAGCAGCACCAGCAGCAACAACGCCTAGAGCAACAGAGGCTCGAGCAACAGAAACAGCATCAGCAACGGCTGGAACAGCAGCGGCTTGAGCACCAGCAGAAGCAGCAACTGGACCAGCAGAGATTGCAAAAATTGCAGCACCAAAGTCAGGCGCACAACCCGTACCAACAACAATCACCGTTTTCCCAACACACTCAGCCTCCATTCCACCCATCTCAATATCAGCACCACCAAGTTCAATCGCAACATCAGTACGCCCCACACCAGACGCAATTTTCTCAGCCGCAGCAGACCCAATTTCAACCATCTCCGCACCAGGCTCAGTTCCAGCATTACCAGGGACCACACTCAGCTGCCGTGTCTTCATCGCAGCCAGCTGCACCGGTTATCTCTGCAGTCACTGAAAGTCCGGTCATACAGCCTGACGAGTCGAGTCCTGCACCGAAGAAGAAAGCCAAGACCAAGAAGGCTCCTCCGCCTCAACCTCAAGCTGTTCAGACCCAATCCCAGCCTCATGTCCAACCTCAGCTAAATGCCTCCATGACTGTTCCTAACGCTGTCCCCACACAGGCCAACGGACAAGGGCAGATGCCCGCTGTGGCCACAGTTGGAGGTGACCAGATTGCCACTCCGCCTTTGAAGCGTCGTCGGGGACGGCCTAGGAAGGAGGAAGTTGCGGCTAGGCTTGCTGCGCAGGCCGCACAGGCTGCCCAAAACGGCGAGTCTATGCCGGGAGTTCCTCAGCCAGGACAGGCTTCATTCACTGCGAATATGACACCGACCGCTCCAGGCTCCACCGCACCGAATAGCACAATCAAGGGAACGCCTATTCTGGGACCGGACGGCACTCCGCTGAAGCGAAAACGTGGACGTCCTCGTAAGGCTGATCAAATTGCATGGGCAGCTGCAACGGGTCAACCTTTACCACCCCCTAAACCAAGGAAGCCAGCTTCAGCCAAACCAAAGGCACCTGGCACGGGCCGACCACGTGGGCGGCCTCGGAAGGCTGATGTGGCTGCGGCGGCCGCAGCTGCAGCCGCTGCCGCGGCTAGTGGAGATCAGACGCAAGCAGAGGTCAACTCTCAATTGCGCGAGGGTGCAGATACAACGACGATACTGAACCGTGCAACCTCTTCAATCGATGAAGAGTCGCGCAAGCGGCACTGCCCGACACCAACGCAGATGCTTCAAGGCCAGTCTCTGCCGCAACAGCAGAACCTCCATATGTTCCAACAGAATCAGCCTTCACAGGCGCAGGCAAATCAGCATATTGGGCAGCCGCAAGTCCAGCACATGCACCAGCAACAGAACCAACACATGTCTGCACAACCCGGTTCTCACTTGCCGCATAGCCAATCCCTGCCCCAGCAGCCTGGCCAGCCGCTCTCTATGCCACACATGCAAATGCATCATCATTCTCCTGTCCACCCTCCACGGCCTCTTCCTCATCAGCCCTATCTTCAATCTCCGATGCAACAACATATGCAACACCCGATGTCTGAGTCCCCTGTCCACGGGATACCAGGACAATCACGCAGACCACCAATTCCACAGCGGAGCCAAGCCCCTCCCCCGCCCGCACCACAGCATGAACATCAGCATACCTTCCAGGTCCAGATGCAACCGCAACCAACCTAGTGCTGAAATGGTTCAGGATATGGTTTTCATCCATTTAATGCAAGATCAGTTTCTCCTCTACCTAGTATATTCTGATTTGAATTTCATTCTAAACAACATCGGTGTTTATATCATTCTTCGGTTCTGTCATGTGTGTTTTATCGATCTTTTTACGTCCACGAAGTCTCGTATATCAGGTCGTTTCGTGGGCCTCTTATGGTGTTGCGCGCTTTTGTGTCATTGGCATTTCAGGCATTTCCTGTTTCCCTCTATTGTTCACTTAGCCCATGGTTTTCTTTTTCTTTTTTCCTTTTCTCATATATCTAATGTTCTCAATTTAGTACATACTCGGTTCTAATCTCATTTTGTCAAATGTGCACCACTAGCCCTGTTTAACTTACACGTGGTTCCTTTACATGAACTGTATTTCCTTATAGGAGCAGTTCTTAGTTTATCACTACGCATGCATACACTGATTACCTACTGTATGTACCTGTGTTAACTCTATGTACTATGATCTCCACTGCCACCGCTTCCAAGGTTGTATGAGAGCGCGTTCTCCAATCTTGGATGGTGTAGACAGGCCCTTATAGAGAAACTCACGTATATCTAGAGTCTGAGGACCTGACGCTCAATAAGACCACGGTTTTATTTTAGGAAACCCGCCGCTATGGATATGATTAAATAATGAGTAGACACCAAACCGCCGCGAGTCAACATCTGCCCCAGCTTGCACATGAACCAGATCGAAAAAGAAGAGAAAATAAATCAGAAGGATGAAAAACAGTGCTTATCACTTTACAGACATGGGTTCCCCATATACCACTTTTGGGCGATTTGATGCAACTTTCTGCGATCAAGCTTGTTGGATCTTGTACGTGGGATTCGATCGACAAGGAGAAACAAGCTGGGCATCATGTGTTTTGGCAGCGTGCTATAGACTTCATTCTGCATCGCCTCCACCAAGCCGTTCACTCGGACACGATTTGTAATGGGAAGGAACGACATTTCCTGATCTGAGATTCCCGGAAGAAGGTTTGCTGGGTTATCCAGCAAGTAGATAAATGCGACGAGGATGGGGCTATCGCCACCGTCAATCTCACCGAGCATATCGACGACGGTAAAATCGCCAGGCGAAAGGGTCTTCCGAAGGACGTATTCGACTTCGGTTGACTCAACACGGCCACCGTTGAGCTTAAGAAGTGTGTCCTTTCTGCCCATGTGCTCCACAGTACCATCGTGGCGATATCGACCCAGATCACCAGACCGATAGATGCGCGAGGTCGGCGCTCGCGACGGGTGGAGATCGGCAATCCACCGAGGCACTGTGCTAAGGAATCCCACGTCGGGTTTCTGGCAGAGGTCATCCAAGTACCCACGGGCGAGATGTGGGCCTTCAATCAAGATCTCGCCAACAGCGCCGATAGGAACTGGCCGCTCAGACGAGGAGGGATTGGCAATCCAAATAGCGCCGCTACCGGATTTTCCGACGACGGCATTATGGCCTGCCTTGGGGTTGTCGTTGTACGCGCAGAAGGTGGCCGCCTCGCCCATCCCGTACTGATTTACCAGCTTCACATGAGGTCCCCATTTCATGAGGAGATCATTTGACATGGGCTCGCCGCCGATACAAAGCAGCTCCAGCGACGGGACGTCTTTGGGGCTGAGTTGGACGGCAATTGTTGGAGTCAGGAAGCTCATATTGGTGTTGGTGATATTGATATTTTCAATCAGAGCAGCTATGCTTTTTTCAGGTGTGGGGACACAACAACAGCCACCGGCAGCCAAAGCTGTGAGGTAATCGTTGTTACTGATGTCGAATGCATAGTCATCGAACTGAAATACACGGCTGTGTTGGCCTAGCCCGAGGACCTTGTTGTAGTCGCGGATTGCTGTGGCGTAAGACCGATGTTCTTGGATAATGCCCTTAGGCTGTCCTGTGCTTCCAGAGGTGAACAAAACCAGACAGGCATTATGAGGTTGGACTGTGGAAGCCAGAGGTCCTGTGGGAAGCTCTTTCAGCATGTCTTCTGTAATCGAGATGACGTTTGAGACAAGTGAGGCATATTTTGATGCATACTCCGAGGATGTGAGCATGATTTTAGCATTAACGCGACTGATAACCGAGTCCAGGAATATGGGAGGGTCGCTGGCGTCGATGGATATGTATGCCCCGCCGGCCTTCAATATAGCCAGGCGAGCGATAATCGCCAAAGATGACTTTTCGAAACAACTAAGCACGAAAATTTCAGGGCCAACGCCAAGCCCGGTCAAGTAAAGAGCAAGACGAGATGTGAGGTTATCCAACTCTCTATAGGTGAAGTTTCCATCCCAGGAACAGATTGCGGGCGCATCCGGGGTCAGTCGCGCATGCTCCAATGCCATGTCATGTAACAAGATCTCATGAGAGTCCGAAACCTCCCTCGTAAACTTTTGCAGGAGAATGAGGTCAAGGTCGGAGCATAGATCAAGGTCGCCCAAAGAAGTTTCGGGTGAATGGTATATGGATGCGACGACCTTGTTCAAGGAGTGAAGAAGGCTTGTTGCGAATTCTTTCGACATCTCGGGCGACGAGAAGGCAAGACTCGCGTGCAGCTTGCCATTGTCATTTGTCACGTTGAGCATCAGCTTTGGATTGGGGATCTAGACCGAGATGAGATTAGCTTTGCTAGGGTACGGGGGGATTAAGTGAGGATATGGAAACGGTACCTTTGAATTGGCAGACAAAGGTGCCTTTTCCAAATTTGGACGGTCACCACCATAGCGGACAGCCGAGGTGAGAAGGTGATTCTTATCATCGGAAGCCCACCCTTCATCAGGGTCGACCGAGTTGATGCCTGCCTTGATAAGACAGAAATCTCGAACGAGGTCCTTCAATGGACGCTCCACGGAAAATCCAAGAGCGTGCGAATCGGTCCCTTGACATTTGCCATCTATATAGCACAGATTTGAGCCAGGATGGAACTCTAGGTACATGGTTCTCACAGGAGAGAAACCATGTACCACAAGTAACCAGCAAACAACGAGAATTGACTCAATGTCAAGACCCCGAGCTAGTTCTGGATCCAGGTATTCCAAGTACTGGGAGTTGGCAGCCTCGAGTATATGCGATTCGCAAAGAGTAAGAGGAAGATCGACGGAGTCTTGTGTGTGAGAGGGAGCTTTCTTGGGTAGCTTCAAGGTGTTGATAGGTATGATAGAAGACACATGTTCGAGCCTAGTGATTGAGGGCACCATGATGAAGGATGATGAATAGAAGAAGGATATCTGTAGAAGGCGTTCCAAGGCCAAATAAATAGGTCCTATTCAAGTAAATATACGGAGTTCAAATAGGGGGAGTATTACAAGGGTTCAGCTTCTCTTGCCTTCATGTGGATTTCTTTTTCGTGCATCATGCATATGGTTTAAATTAGATGCAGCTGTATTCTACACGGAGTTCTCCGTATATAATATGATCGACAATACATGCACACTTTCCTTTCCTTTTCTGCTGTGCAACTCTAAGTAGGTCGAATCCCGATGTCTTCGTTTTGTCACTGTGCATGTTTATTGGCTCATTCAGCTGCACATCTTTTCTTCAGCTCCCCATAACTCGGGCTATACTCGTCAGCTCTATTTCTTCGTTCATTCTTGCGTGTCTCACTTTTATCGACTAAGCAGGTCACGAAAGTTTTGGCACTGTGTGTATCTGCGCAAGAAGATCATGCAGCTGGGGTTCCCCATGTATCACAGTGCATAGCTACCACTGGGGTTGGTCATTGACTTCTAGAAAACTGGCCATCTATAGATTTCACAAATTATGATAACGTAAAACTAAGTGAAGGGTGATCACTATGCACTACCATACCCATGAGCAGTGGCGAGCTGAGTTCAGAGACAGATCAACACCAGCTATAGGAAAAAGCAAAGAGCTGTGGATGATGTGACCGAAGATCCCGTATACGAGATATCTAGTACTCTCTATATCACATGGCAATTTGGGCCAAGTTTGCCGAATCGCTTAACGGAGATCTAGTTCACGCCTTGTAATTACCTAAAAATTGGCAAACACTTCAAGAATGGCGAAGGTCATGCAGGCATTGAATAATATCTATGTAGCAAGGAACGGTGGGGCAGGCCTGGCCTTGGGCAGTCAGGTAGCCACCGACCCCAGCCCCTGTAAATCTTATATAGGGTATAGCCAATTAGCAGGTGTCTTTCCCCGTAGACAAGTGTGTATGTATTCTGTACTCCGTATGATGCAGCTCAATCACTCACTCAAGTTGTATTCCCCCGGTGCTCGGACTCAGCTGTCATTTTGTCAAGTGTGCACAACTAGCCTTGTTTAACCTCTACACGGTTAGGTGCATACAATAATAGCCATGAATAGTGGGAATAGCCCCCTTGTTCAGGGAGTACTCCGCTCGCTTCACAGACTGTATAGAAGAGACATTGTTGATTTCTTTTCTTTTGTTCATGCTACTCCGTACTGATTCTCTCAATGGATGGTCTGTACACCGCCTTAGTGCCTGCTGTCCACCGCTTCCGGATAATTCTGTATCTACCGAAGATCTTGATCTCCTAGTACGACATACTACAAATACACTCGAGGCTCCTATATAGTAACCATAGTGGCTCAGCTGTGACCAAGGGGGTCTAGGGAGCCTCGAGGGTATTTGTAGTATCTTGTACTAGGAGATTCAGATCTTCGGTAGAATCTTCTGATTGATTATCCGCCTATTGGGCTAAGATATTAGGTGGTATTATTATATTTATATCAGCGAGGATCCCTAGCGGGGGTATAGTGTTAGGATTAATCTCCCTCTAAAGATGAGTGTAATGGTCAGGTGAAAGTGTTCTTGGTCGCTCTGGTGCTCCTTTATAACGTGCTGGGAATGGTTGAGGTAGCTGTCCTGGGCGAAGTGCAAAAGCCGGAGGGTTAAAGAAAGGTTTCTTTATACTAAATATATGTAGAGTATAAGATAGGACAGTATGAAAATCCGCCTAAAAAAATCGACAGGGGTTATAATACACTAGTACAGAAGAAGATAGGATTTAGTGGTAAAGATAATACTGTAAATAATGATCACGGGGTCTTTATGAACGTCTATTATATAAGCTATGAAGACATCCACCTAACTAACTAGCGTAAATGAGAGATCTCGACATTCGCCAAGACCCTCTGAGCAGATGGAATGTCAAAAAGCGGATTAACACGGATTAATATGATTTCCTTCATGCTAAATTAGCGGTGACTTGTCCGCTGCTCGTACTCGTCTCAACCCTCAAACTTGCTTGATGTCATGGATACAAACGCGCTTATTGATATCGTCCACGAGGTGCAAGGCCAGATTTGGGTTGACAGGGTGAATGAAACCTACAGAATGAGTCATCTCTGTCAATGGGTATCAACTTTCCATCCTGATAAGCTTCCCTGCCAGCTTGACGGTACCTTTCACCATGGCGCATTCAATGCCGGTATGAAGATGGTCTTTAGCGATAATACTACCTGGATGGTTCGTTTCCTTTGTGTGGGGATGGCACTTAATGACTATGCCGACGAGAAGGTCGCTATGGAAGTGACTGCGCTGAATCTCATCCGTACTAGCACTGTCATTCCCGTGCCTCAAGTTCAAGCTTGGGGTCCTGCTGCTCGTAATCCACTTGGCTTAGGTCCGTTTATTCTCAGACCAAGTTACCGGTTGCTTCTTTGCCTCCCAATCCTTACTAGCCAGATAGTCGCTCCGTGACTGTGACTTGATATTAAGAGCGATTCTAGCATCATCCGTCCAGGATGCTAAAACTTTGAACATGCGCCTCTCAATGACTGCCTGCTAGCGTCGGCTTAAAGTGGCATATGGATATATTAGGTGTAGACATTTGTTCATCAATCATATTCTCATCGTATATCCAGATATAAAAGTGACATCACGCTCAAACTAAACTAAAAAACACCTCCGTCGAAATCAACCAACTCATCATACGCCTCCATCCCACTCCCACTGTGGTGCTCATTGCTTCCGCTACTATCTACATTCCAATTCCCATGTCCACTTATCTCCTTCTCCTCCATCAACCTCTCAAAAGAACTCCCATCCGGCCACTCCGTCAAATCAATCCCCAAGCCAGGTGCAATCTTTCTAACAATCCCATCACAAAGCAGAAATGCCCGTCGTGCCGACGGATCCACAGAAGCAGTCATATGAAGCCAAGCGAGGGCCTTCTTAGTCGCCGCAACAGCCGTAGTCAAATCCTTCTCCAGCAGCGGCGAGTAAGCCCCGGTCTGGGATATAGACGGCGTAACAGGTGTCAGGAGCGGATCCGCATGGTCCGGGCTGGTGGGCGTATTTGAGTCAGAACAGCATGACAAACCCAGCAATATAGCCGTAGTCGCCTGCATGAGGAAATGCAGAATGCTCCACCAGGGCGTGGTGCGGGCCAGCCATGCAATGTTCGGATCTTCTGGGAAGATGGAGATCAGTGCGCAGGAAGCTTGCAGACAGTGTGTGGCCCTTTCGGACCGCGCTTTTTCGCGCGCAGCGTGATCGCCTGTTGGTGAGACGTGGCGGGGAGATTGGTGGATATGGCTTAGACATGGTCTGCAAAGGGTGATTCGGGCGGAGTAATAGTTCATTGCTAGACAGACGCGTTCGCGCACGAAGGGCGCGGAGAGGTCGTCTAGTTGGGGGTGCTTTAGGTGCCAGGGATCGGAGCTTGGAATGGTGAATTCGTAGAAGGGGGAAAGTTTTGAGAGCCAGCGGTCCATTTGTAGGCTGGATTTTTGGACGTGGTATTCTAACTGGCTCGGGCCTTTGCGGAGACCCCTGATACTGTAGACTTTGTTGATGAGGGCGTGGGTGATGAGGGTTAGGTCGACAAGGAAGTTGAAGAAGAGGGATGGACAGGGTAGACAGGAGGTCACCAATGAGGGCGAGTGGTGTTGGCTGGGACTTTCGAAAATGGTGGAGCGGAGTTGGGCTTCGCGGAGGGCCGGATCTTGGAGGAGGCGTTTAGCGTCGGATTGATCGAATATTTCTTCTTCGTACGGAAGAGGTGCAGGGACGGAGCAGAGGCCTTCGCCGACACAGGAGGCCCGGCCGTTCATTGATGCAAGAAGGTGCTCGAGGGAGTATATGGACCACCAGAGTCGGCCGCGAGTTTCTTTGGCGGCTTCTTTGGTGCGGTCGTCTGTTATGCAGAGGTTGATGCCGAGAGATATAGCTGAGTGGAGGGCCATGTTGGAGAATTTGGATGCTCTGGGGGAGATGAGGGAATTAGTATGATGCAGAAGGAATGGAGGGTGAAAGGATTGAACCTACCGGTTGACCTGTCCCAGACAAAGCATGTAAATTGCTATGAGGAGTTCGAGTTGGATCTGCTGGAGGTCAGTGGGCTCGAATAGCACACTGCCCTGCAGACCGAGATGGCGTGCCCGGGTCAGGTATATCAGGTCCTCCTCACTAGTGCTTTGGGGGTCATTTATGAGTCGAGAGTAGCGACAACCAATAGCAAATATCATGTTGAGAATGGCCAGCCATTTCCGGTGTGGTGTCGATTCATTGTTGAAAAACTTCTGATACTGGGAGATGAAGGTCATCTTCCGAACTGCGCTGAATGTCGGATGAACGTTGGTCAGATAGGCATCGAAGTATCGGTCTGCCAATGCCGACGGGGGCAAAGCTAATGGGTCACATGGTTCAATCATCGGAATGTCCAAATTGTCGAGATGATAATCCATCGTAGAAGTGGGAATCTGCCTTTCCAATGACTGTTGCTGCTGCATAAAGGCTGGATCACGATCACTTTGCGTTTGAGAATGATTCGCCACATGTTCCTGTGCGCTCTTCATATCCACGCCGCTCTCCAGCTTGCGAATCCAATTGACCTCTGAATTCTTCCCAAAGAAGCCCGCAGCCCGGGTGTCCGCGTTCCGATCGAGGTCTTCGTCAACCTGGTCGATAGCATCGAGTGAGTCCATAGAGGTAGAGGAATCATCGGAGTCGAAACTCTTTCTAGGGGTTTTCACACCTTTGGACTTAATTTGCCAAATGGCAAACGGTCAGAGTCGTGAACTCGGGACTCAAATCATAAGATCCGAGTCTTGGGTGAGACCCGCAACTTCATCTGATATTGACTGGACATACCTTCAATGCTTTTTTGATTTTTCGAGCTGTGGGGGGGTCCACCTCGGCTTCGAGGTCTCTCAGAAGAGCTTCATATGTATCCACTCGCTTGGCCAAGGAGCCTAGTTGTTTCTGATCCCGCACTCGTTTGACTTCCTCGTAGTTGCAGCCGTAATTGTGATATGCACATTGTCCGCACGACGGGCGGATACCATCACATTTGATCTTGCGCTGGCGACAGGGCTGACAGGCCCGCGCTGCCCGTCGGCGCCCGTGTATAAAGGTATCAGAACCCGTCAGTCTAGGAATGGCTACCTTTGGAGCAGTACTTCCGGATGCTGACGGGGTTGACATATGCTGTGAGAAGGCTTGTGCAGGGTATTGTATTGGCGAGAAAGGGATAGGCGTAGGATAGGGTTGTGGAAGTATATAACCAGGTACGGATGACATCGAGACGTAGTCCTCGAGAGTTAGGTCATGATTATCCATATCAAATTTATCAAATTTATCGAGATTATTGACACGAATATATGTTACCGAGGGTTGAAGAGGGAGGGTACAAGGTAAGAAAGGCGGAACAAAGCCATGGCAAAAACATTCCAGCACAAACAGGAAAACAAGGATTGATGATTTGTTTCCAATGTTTTAACTGTCAAATATCTCAACTGGGGCGAAGTTGGACTAAAGTGGACGAGCGTGGAGATGACATTCACTTGGCGGGTGGATGAACTGCCGATTTGACGTCAGACAACATCCCAACCTCAGCCAACCTCCAAGTCAACCAACTCCTACCTATGAACTCTTGGGGATCTGAGACTCCATAATTAGCTGTGACGTGTCGGTAACTGTCGCATTCTATGGTGTTCCTCCTTGGTGTCAGCTTATACATCCCCCTGAACTTATCAACTTATCTGGACGATCTATATCTATGGAGCAAATTCATACAACCGTGTCGCCACTCTGTGAAGGCAAATGTGCCTGGAGACATACGACCGAGATGACGAGGATGCCGAGGATAGTGCATCGTGCGGTCTCCCATCAACATCCAACAGGTCGATACCTCTCAACCAGAACATCATCCTTCCCAAGACTCAGACTCTCATATCGATCCAACATATCGGAAAGTCCAAGTCCAGGATAATCCTGCAACCCTTTACCATTCCCATCTCCAATCCCATGATACTTTTCCTTCTGATTTAACTTCTCAAGTCCATCAGCATACTCATCAAATCGATCACACCCCCTTTCCTTCGAGGCCTCGTCAAACAAATCCTTCAACTCATCAGGCACAGAACTCTCCCGAATACGATAGCCCTGCGCCTTCGCCCTGACCGACTGTCGGAAAATATGAAACAGATTCCTCCCCAGCGCGGATCGACTCGCAACAACCGAGAATGCACTCGAAAGAATGAGGAAATCCTCATCCAGCACATCAAACGAGTCTTGCTCGAGCAGCGTAAACAGCGCCAGGTTGATCGCATACATCGCAAACTGGTGCGCGCGGCTAACCCCGAACTCACGTCTGTGGAGACGCGTTAGGGCAGCGATGCCGCGGGCCGCGCTCTGCGTTACTTCCCGCGCGTTATATTTTCTCTCGGGAGTATGGCGCGGCGGGCTTTCCGGTGTTTTGGGCTCGAAGGGTGTGGGCGGGACTTCATCTTCGGAAATGCAGCTGAAGAGATTTATGATGAGGGCGTGGTAGCGCATTCTGTGTAGGATGAGTATTTTTGCTTTTTTTTTTCGGTAGACAAGACGGATTAATGTGGACATGCTACTCACTTCAACAAGATAATATGCGGAGCCGGCCTATACCGCACATCAAAGTCCTCCGGGAGAAGATCGTGCCAACGACGGATACGGTCGTACAGATCCTCGCGGCTCTGGCGGTGGATAGGGCCGAGGCCAGTCTTGCTCCTGTGGTCTGCGAACATGTTGCGGGAGATATCGCGTGCGATCGTTGACAGGTTGCATGCTTCGTCGAAGTACTGACTGAAGAATGACAGGCGCGGGTCGCGATGGGTTGGGTATGGCTGCCAGAGGGCTTTGTCTTCGGGCTGGTTGATATCCAGACGGGCCATGTTGACGTGATCGATGAGACTTGGGCGCAGGAAGGATGTGTGGACCATGCTGCAGGTGTGAGTGTGAGTTCGAAGGGTGGGATGCTATCAGTATTCACTCACGTGTCGACGTTGAACAAACCCCAAGCTGTGCGCTTGCATGAGATATCCATGTCTTGGGATAACTCCGCCGAAGCTATTCTAGGTCCTGTGCTGCCGACCAGACCCAGTGCCTCGCCCATTTGGATAGCCTGGTGCAGCATGATATAGCCCAGATCGTCTTCGCGGGACATTGCATATCTATCTTTGTCAGAAAAGCCCTAGCCACTAGGACAAGATGTCTATACAAACCTCTCATACATCAACAACGTCCCCTGTAAACCTGCCAAACTAGGCTGCGAATTCTCTTCGCCTCTCAACCTCTCTGCCTCGGCAAGAAAACCACTCCCTTTTGAAGAGATATCGCCAGGAACAACATAAGCCTCGGAGAACTCAGAGAAGTACTAAACAAACAGATCAGCAACCGAATATTAGCAAACCTCAAAGCAAAAGAAAGTGAAAAAGGAAATACCCACACAAGCATTACTGAGCACCGCATTAACCAAAAACGGGCTACAAAACTCCGACCCCAATACCCCCTTCGCCATATGCCTAACAAAAACCTCCTTGTCCAAAATAGCCGCAAACGGCCAATCCCACGCAAAATACAACGAAACAAGATGCGACACCAGATCCGCATCAGCAGTAACCCTCGTCCACGGCGCCGCAGGCACTTCACAAGGCGCCGAGTCACACAGGTAATGGATATCCATAACCTTCCTTCTGAAAGTGGGACCCGTACCCTCGACATTGAGAAGCTGGCGCATATCCTCCAGCTTCGCGACGGTTTCCTGCTTGTGCGCCGTGGATGTTGATGTATCAGTGGTTGACGTGATCGAGGCGAGTGTTTCGTTTATGTAGGCGCGGATTTCATCGGCGGGGGCATTGTGGCGGATTATCGTTAGGAGATGGAGGGCGTCAGCTTCGTTTGCTTCGCGGACGAGCTTGAAGAGGTCGGAGAGGAGGTCGCGGTGGTAGGAGAGCTCGTCTGCTGTGCGTTTTGCGGCTACGCGTCGGCGTTGGTCGAGAGATTCGTCGAAGATGCAGACTCTTTTGAAGGTTTGGCAGTTTGCGCAGGGGGATGTGCCGGAGCACTGCGTTAGAGTGTTAGTTGGTTGTTATATCCATATGTGTAGATGTAGTGTAGAGTAGTGTATCATATATCTCACCTTCCTCTTCGACTTCTTACAAGCCAGACACGCAGTCGAAACTCTCTTCTTCCACGTACCAGAACCCTTACCTTCCTCGGTGAGTGGACTGCCATTTTCAAGATCATTTTCATGGTAGTTGTCGTGGTCATGTTCCTCCTCCTCAGGCGAGGGACCGGGTACAAGACGGCGATGATGCCCACTCATACCGACATGAGCAGGTGGATATCGGTGTGCTTTTCCTTTTGCGTTTGCGTTTCTTTCGAGCGTAAAATGTAGCATATAAGATGCAAATATATAAAGGATATTTGTCCAATATGTGAAGAAGCGTATGTCAAAAAAAAAAAAACAATATATAAAAAGGCGTCAGATATACAGTCAAATATGTACTGTTGGCAATATACAAATAAACAATGTTGACACTGTACAAGATCAGGAATGCATATTGTTGCAAAGTATATTCCTGTTTCGAATGATGGTAGGACGATTTACTTCAGATCCCCCTCTGCTTTGATACGGTTTAGTAGGGCTTATTCTGCGGCGAATGACGTTGGGAGTATATCATGGGGAACTTTCCCCCGCCTATTATGATAGGTGTTCATTTGCCTGAAGGCAATGGCGATTTCATGTTTGCAGTGTCTTGCACGGATTCGAAGCTGGGTTTCGTGATATCGAGGCTAAATGAGGTGTAGGTGTTCTACTTGGGGCCATATATCGAATTGATAGCGGATAAAAGTACCGAGGCGTAGGCATACAATTACAACTACATTATCTACATACATGTAGAGATCTTTTGCAGATGAACAAGCTTGTATTGGTGCATTGAGAATGGCCCGGAGCAACAGTCACAGTACTTGGGAATCAAAGTCAGGTCTAGACTAAAAACAACCCAATAGAAAAGAAAGAAAAAAGACGCTGGATTATTGTAATGTAATACAAGTACTTCCTTTGAATACTCCGTGGAATCCATAGCCTCGGATGCACCGTTAAAACGAGAAAAACCAAAGACTGCGACGGGTTTGCAAACCAGGCAAGACACAAGAATCAGACGACAACATCTAGTGCTCGAGGATTCTCAGGCTACCCTGCACAACGCAGTTCTCAAGCACGGATCCAGGGGGAATGTCAATGGTGCTGCCCTCGGAGGCGACAATGATAACAGTTCCCTTGAGGGTGACGTTGCGGCCGAGGTTAACCGGTCCGGTAATAGTGAGGTGGTCCAGCTCGACGATACGAGGAATGCTGGTAATGCGCTTCTGGAAGTCGGAGACCTTCTTGAAGTCGGAACCGAGCTTGATGACAGGGACACCACCGAAGCGGTTGGGGTCCATGACCAACTGGCCGTGCTCGAGACGGTACAGGTCAGACTTGACGACCAGCAGATCGGAGCAGGTCTTGACGGGCAAGAAGCGGCGACGGGGCACGTTGACACCGTGGGCGTTGTGGAAGTGGCGGATGGCCGCACCGACGGCGGTCTCCAGCTGGTAGATAGCCTGATCGGCCTCACCCTTCTTATCGGCGGGAATGGATTTCTCGTTAGGGATGATCTCCATCTCCAACTCGTTCTCCTCAACGACACGCTTGATGGCCTGGACGTTCAGCCAGATGTTGTTGGTGTTGAAGTACTTGAACTTCTTGATGGATTTGAACTCGTTGACGTGCTCCTTGGGCACCTGAGCAATCTCGAGTAGACGGACCTTTCCGTCGGAATCAATAATGGTACCGCCCTTGACGTCAGCCTTGGTCTTGTCAGTCAACTCCATGATGTACTCGGCTTTGGAGTCAACCATGTGCTGCAGGATACGGAGATCAACCACGGCACCGAGGTTGTCGGCGTTCGACAGGAAGATGTACTCGATACCACGCTCAATCAGCTTGTCGAGAGTTCCGGAGTTGTACAGGGACTCGAAAACGTCACCGTGTCCGGGAGGGTACCAATCCTGGAGGGGAGAGTCGAAGCTCTTGGGGGCGGGCAGGAGCGAGTCCTTGATGATGCGGGGGTAGCGCGACTGGTTGAAGGTGATGATGTCGACGTTGTGGCCCTCGTACTTCTTGATAATGGACTGGGTGTCCTGATCGGTGTTGAAGGAGTTCATGAGGACGAAGGGCACGTTAACGTTGAAGGTACGGTTAAGGTGCTCGATCTGGCGCACGGAAAGATCGAGGAAGGACATGCCCTCACGGACCTCAATGACGGACTTGGGACCAACGCAACCCATGGAGGTACCAAGACCACCGTTCAGCTTGACAACAGCCAGCTTGTTCAGGAACTCTACGGAGGCGTCCGCACCGAGGTCATCGTAGCCAACCACCTGGGAAGGCTGAGGAGGGGCGATCTTATCCCAGTTGACGGATGTTCCCTTGGCCTTGTCGTTAAGGAAACGGCGGAACAGGGCGAAAAAGTTGTCCATCTCGGCTTCGAAACGCTTCTTCTCCTTGGGGTCGGTGACGCTGTCGCCGAGGGCGTTCAGGGCATTGCGCATTTGCGAGGCGGCGACACTAGTGGAGGCATTCTCAAATGCCTGGTTGGAGGTTTCACGCGTCAGCTCTGGACCAAATGGGGGGGCCAAAGTAGCCATGATAAGGAAAGGGATAGATAGAGACAATTGAATGGGGCTTCTCAAAATACAAGCAATGGAGCAATGATAACAGTGTAGCGATGGATGAGAAAGGGAAGAAAAGAGGGGAAGAGAAGAGGAAACGAGCAAAAGAGGAAGATGTTGTGGCCTCGTCAAGACGCGTCCAGGAAAGCGCAGGAAAGCGCAGCAAAACAACCCAAAAACGGCAGGAACAATCCAAAAAGGCAAGAACGAAGCTTCAGGATGCGGAGATTCAAGGGTTCACCGCCTGAAGAGAACTTACCATGTGCGACTGCGACTTGCCATGGTGCTTTCCACCAAAGCCCTCGCTTTCGACAGGGGCTCGAAGGTGAGTGGGAAGAGCCTTAGAGGCCATTATGAGTTATGGTTTATGAGATATGGGTATGGACTCGGAGGAAACTGGCTATGTGAAAGGAAATCGACGGTCAGTGGTAGATTCAAGGAAGAAAAGGGCAACGTGGCTCCATTTAAGAAGCTCAACTCAAGCTGCCTCAGAAAGGAGGGGGTTCGCCACTTTGTCGATCCATTGGATGTCAAGCTGCCGTCATTGGGCGGGGATGGAGGACAACTCACAGATCAATTCCTAAGGACAGAAATGAAGAGGGGGAGGAGAGGGGATGTCCAGAGGTTATAAACGAAAGAGAGAGGGAAGAAAAGGGAGATGGAGTGGGGGAGAGAGACCCCGTGATTTCTAGAATGTATTTGTTATTTGCACCGATTTGGGTATTTACGTCCACTTTATATGCCAACATCCATAAATAATCTGCGGATCGTCTCCTGCATTCTCTGTTCTTCCTACTGTGCCTGTGTCTCTTCCTCCAGAGTCTCTAGAGACTGTCATCCCCCATTCCTATTCTCTTATCTCGCTCAGTCCTCCTTACATCCCGATGTCGTCAGTTGCCAGCCACTGACATGCCCACGGGCTGGAGCTCGGGAACCAGCACCGACATGCACGTTGCTATTAAGCCTACGCGTAGGAAGTGTCAGTTAGACAGGATTGCCATCAGAACCATTCATCATCCACTATACCCCTAAGCCCGGAGTACACAAGTCCACTAACAATCCAGACCCCTTTTCCCTCCCCACCTTAGAGGAGAGCTAGTCCCTACAAATAGGAACAAGCCCCACCGGATACAAGCTCTTCTCCTTTTTTGTTTCAGTTTCAATTGTTTCGAACAAACCTCGGCCGATTCGCCTAATTATGTGCTATTCCAAGCTAGAATATAGATGCATAGTCGGGATGATGTTCACCTGACCTATATGACAATATACAATATCGCTAAGTCTGTAGTACAAAGCACAGAATGCAGGTAGAATTTTCACCTTGGATCCCTATTATCACAATTCCTACTACAGAGTACAGCAAATATAGATTCAAATTCATCTAGACTAGTACTAATTGCATCCCATATGTTGTAGTATTTCCTATATTGTATGTTGCAAACCAACTTCCAGTCAAAGTGGCAACTGCAAGTGGGACGGTAAATTATCGACTCCACAACGCCTCTTCTAAATAAATGAGGTTAATATACTCCGTACTCCGTCTGGATCTAAAAATAAAATGCTGAATATCAGACATCTTTATGTAGTATTCCCGATCCCTACCACTACCATCTATATCTTCACTACACTACAACATAGTACAACATACTAACTACGGTACGGGTACACTAAACACCCCAAGAGGCCTAAGCATCAAAGTGCAGATCATCCAGGCTGTGCAGACCAAGTTCGGGAAATTATACTCGGGATGCAGAGAAGGCCTTAGACCAATCTTAGTTTAATATAAGGCCATGAGAATGCAATGGGCATACCACATGAAATACGAGTATATCCTTATCGGAAGCCCCTTTAAGATACCAACCTGAGACATCAGTCTCAGGTCTTAGACTCAGTCTCAGGTCTCAGACTCAGTCTTGTTCTCGGTCTTTTTGTGTGGCGCAAACTATTGATTCTCAACTATTTTTACTCGCCTATTTTATACTACGTGGTAGATGTCTCAAGGAGTCCGGGGCCATCTCAACAATTGAATTCATATTGATAGGAGTGGGAAAAAAACGAGAAGAAAAGGATATCACAACAAGCACAAACAAAACACAATTAGTAACATGCGGAAACAATTCATATTTTCATATACTCTTCACCATGAACAGGCAAAGGAATTCCAAAGCGGATAATAAGAGTAAAGGAGTGATTTAGACACCGCTAACAGCCCTCTTACTCAAGAAGCTGCGACGGGGCGTCTTTTTCGAATCAGGACTCCCTCCACCATCACTGGCATCGGGGGGTCCGGTCGAGTGTGACGTAGTAGGTCTCAAGCCACCATCTGCAAGCGCAAAGCTGGAGCGAATGGTAACGACACCGTCACCAACGGTAATAACCTTATCCTGGCCGGCGACGGAACCCTGATCGTCAACGAAGAACGGCGCTTCGCCGAGGACATCGTCCGAGCCGAACGTGGCATGGTTGACGACACGAACCTGGTACTGGGCGTCGGCGGTGGTGTTGGGGACGCGGAAAGAGTCGTCGTAGGTGACTGAGCCAGAGGGGTTCTTGTGAGCCTTCGTTTTGTGGACATCCTTGGCGCCCTTGGAACCCTGGAGACGGATGATGACGCGGAGATTGGAGTCGTTGGGGAAGTTAGCAGCGGAAACGACAGTGATGTTGGCGGTGCCCTTTTCACCGGAGCCGCCCCCACCGAAGACGCTGAGGCGATCGCCGAACTGCGAGGCGGTGCTGCGGTTGCGGCTGTGTTCCTTCTGCGGGGTGGCGGGGGAAGAGGAGACTTCGGCGAGGGAGGCGGCTGGGGTCAACCGCTCGCCCCTGACGGAGTCAGGTTCCTCGATGCTGTTCATAATGGAGGCGGTGTCTTCGCCTTTCTCCTTGTGGATGCGCGACATCAGGCCGTGCTTTAGGAATGAGGCGCCGCGGACGACGTTGCCACCGACGAAACCAACACCTTTAACGGGCGCACCGACGATCTTTCCGGGGACGGCGAAGGTGCCGGAGAAGGTAGAGGAGCCTTGGCGGGCGCGGATCACGTAGGTAGGTTTGAAGAGCAGGCTCAGGCGGATTGCGCCTGATTTGCCGTCGAGGGGCAGAGTCACTTCCTTCGCTTGGAAAGGCTCCAAGGATTCCAGGTCGATTGCCGTAGCACCAAGGAAGTCGGCCTTATCACCAAAGTCCCAGTCGTACACATCCACGTGGAAGTTTGCGCCGATGCGAGATTTGATGGGGGTTTCGAAGTACTCGTTCCAGGCTGGATGCAGGGTCTTCTTCTGGACTTTGGTCTTGAACACGGTCTCGTCGTCCAGGCGGAACTTGCAGAATGGGTCGCTGAATCCGTTGCGGTCGGCGGCGGGTAGTTCAGCGGCATCGTGGACGTCAACGCGCAGGGTGCCCATGTTGTTGATGCTCTCCGTTGGGTCGAGCTTCATTTCCGTCGGAATGTATCGGGCGCTGACGGTGACCTTGCTCACCTCGCCGGAGTTGGAGCGGAGGATAAGCTCGGTGGGCGTGTACAGCATGCGCATCAGTGTGGGCAGTGTGTCACCAGTCAGCTTGGCGACTGTGTGCTCCTCGCTAGAGTCCTTAGGATCCTCCTTGTTGACGAGCCGCAACGTAATCTTGGAGAATTCGAGTTCGCGAACGAATGCCTCGCCGACGTCGGTGAACTGTGCGGTCGTTGTATGGATCTTGGATGAGACATATGAAGGGAACATGTAATCGTCCATCAATACTTCCAACTGGACATGGGGAACGGCCAGCTTGCCCTCGAGGAACTTGAACACAATGAAACCGGATTCTATGGTCAGTTAGCTTTGTACTATTCCCGTGAATATCGAAGCAAAACATACCATATTTCGGGAGATCCTCCGCAGAGACGAAAGTGCGGGGAATGGATTTAACCGACCGAACAGACGCGGTTTCAGACTGGCTACTTGTGAGTGGGCGGGATGTAGTGGTTTCGAGACTGGTGCGCCCGTTAGTAGCGGGCTCGCCATTGGTAGTTCCGTTAGTTACGGGTGCAGCGCTGTTAGACACAGCCTTCGAGGCCTTCGAGGCCTTCGAGTCAACGCTAGCAGACTTCGAGTGCAAAGCCTTCTTCGGGAATTCGGTGGAGTCCGGACCAGGAGTAGCAGGAAGCTCAGTGGATTCTTCTTCCTCCTCAGCTTCGTCCTCGGGGTTGACGACTGGCACGGACGGGAAGAACGAGACATTGTAGACGATTTCTCCCTTGGGAGAGCCGCCGCTGATCTTGAGACCGCTGGTGATATCCTGCTTCTCGTCGTCGATTTCATATCCACCGCTCTCCGCCTCGCGAACAAAGTCGGATGCATTGAGTTCACACCAACCAAGAGTTCGGTCCTTGTTGATAGTCTCCTCGTCCATGACCTCCACAGTCACCTTCTCGCGTGAGCTGCGAATAGGCACGTAGACAATCTCGTCCCATTCGGGGTTGAGGTTGTTGCGGAAGGTGACTGTGCGGCCGCGAGTCACACCGGAAAGCAGCACGCGAACGTAGGGGTCAGACTTGCCCATAGCTTCCAAGTTGCGCAGGTTAGTCGCACGCTTGAAGTGGAAGCGCATGACACCAATGGGGTCAATGTAGCCAGCGCTGCCAATGCCCCCCAGCTCGACGGGCTTCCAATGGAGAGTCAACTTGACGCGTCCCTCCTTGGCACCGTGGAGATGGAACCATTGCTGGCCACGCTCCATCATCTTCAGCATGTCGTTCATCTTGATCTGGTAGCGGCCGATAATGGGATCCTGCATGATATCGCGATCGTCCTTGAGGATAAGACCCAAACGAGCATTCTTTCGGTCTGTGACGAGGAACTCCTTGGAAGCATTCTGGAAGATGGGGTTGTTGGTACGCTTGAGCTTTTTCGTAATGTGAATCTCCTTTCCGTTGAGAAGCAGGACACCGTAAGGGTTCAGCTTTCCAACCAGACTCTTGCTTCCGTCAAGGTCCTTGGCCTGCTCCACGGTGAACTGAGCGATACCGGTGTTGACTTCGGGGGCAGGTTCATCCTCTCCAGCCTCATTCTTTCGTCCCTCGAGGACGGGGAAGAAGCGGATATCGGCTTGAATAGCACCACGGTGGCGGCCACTGGCCTGCACTTCCAGATAGATCCCCTCCTGAATAGGCTCCTGCTCAAGTTTGTCCAATGCGAAGCTAGCAACACCCATTTCCTTATCTTTGCGGTACTCGTTCCAGTCATACGCAGCAATAGACAAGGCATCAGAGAAGGAGGTAATGATCACGTAAATCGTCTCATTCCAGCGGGGGCTGTCGGTGTCGTGGATGGTCTTCGTGCGGCCGAGCTCAGTACGGTTGTTCAAAGACACCACGGCGTATGGATCAGGAGTGCCAGAGAACTTATCCGGGTTCTTGAGCTGTTGAGCACCGTGCAGAGTAATGGCGACCACACCGATAGCCTGGTCAACAGGGTTTCCAGCAAGCATCTTAGCAATTTCAATCGGGAACACGTTCGGATCGTACATCATGGGCTGCAAGTTGGCGTGAATCTGGTCTTTGATAAAGGACTCCAGACCGGGAATGAAGTTGATATCGAATCCAAGGTGATCACCACCGAGGGGCTTGCAGACGTAATCGATTTCGGGCTTGTCCAGGAAGCAGACGTCCACACGCTCGATGTGGGGGAATGGAATCTGAAGCTTGACTTTAACACGCATCAAGCCCGTGCAAGCCATGTCCTGGACAATCACGTCGAGGCCTTTGCTCACG